GGCTGCTCTTTGTCCTTCCCCCCCCCCCCCCCCATGTAATCCAGAGGTTAGCCTGACGCCCAGCAGTCCTGCTCGGGGAGCTGCTAACCCTGGCCAGCTTCCCTTTCTGTAACATGACCGTCTGGGGATTTGTAGCCATAGGCATAGTCTTCCAGGGGACTGGCTTTTTTTTTTTCCCACTATGAAGAGCACATTTAATGTAACCGTAGATATCGTGAAGAAGTCTAATTTGTGTCTGGATAGCGGAATTGAGGTCTCTTAGGCAAGAAAAAAAAAAGGAATTGTGTCCATATTTGGAAGCAAAAACGGCAAAAGAAATGTGGCCACTAGAGGACGCCAGCGGGGCGTTGTAGACGTTGGGCGCTTCTGATCTCTTCAATGAGAACATCCTTCACTTTAAGCCCTAGGCAAGCCAGTTATTTTCAATAGGGTCCTATGTCAGCTGCGAGCATAGCCAATACAAAGGACTACCCCATACATGTGAACCAATTAACTTCTTCTCCATCTAGAGCACACAGCTATTGATTAATCTGTCACCAGGTACAATCTATGGTGTATCCCCTCCATCCCCCAATGAAATACACGTCTGATACGGTTTAAAATGAGATTATACTGCAACCTGCTTTGTGTATTCAATTGCCATTAATAAAATAATCCATAAATAAACACCGCTGATTGGAGCTGATATTTGTATACCGTACTGTGTATACACTGTCTGGCCACATTATGGTTTCTAGATATTACCTATAGATCCTATAGAAGTCATGTTCAAGACATACGGTCTATAGATCCTATAGGACTGACTATCAAATAGCTGCACGGAATTTGTGCTTAAAATGTATTCATATGGATACATTAAAGGTTCCTAATCTGTATAATTAAGTCCCTTCCCTTTTATGTTTTATTATATTTTATATATTTATATTTTAGATTTATATTATATCATTGTTGATTTATATAGAACCTGCCCGACATCCAGGGATAGGTAAAACACACACACTATATATAATACAATGTGTATATAATGTAATATGTATATATACATACACACATAACGTACACACACTAAATTTATCTTATGTCAATTACATGCAGCTGTTTAGCAAAAACCATATCCAGCAGTAACAAGATTTTATACATTTATAATCCTGGATGAAAAAAAGTCTTTGTTTTATCTTGTGTATGTTCCGCTATAAAAGCCTATTCTTTGTGTAGTTATTTATTTGTAAATATTTATCATATTATATTTATTTTTGACATCTTTATATTTTTACATATCCTCTGGCAAATCCTAATCAAAACACTCTCTCTCCTAGAACTGTTTGCGAAAGCGTGATGCTGGCCTGTTAAGTCAACTGCATGAACTGGACAAGCAGATTAATGACCTGAAGCTGGATGTTGAGAAGACGGCTGAGGAACATCTTGAAACAGACAGCCGGCCCAGTTCAGGTAAGCTGATACTCTTGCAAGAAAATCTGTGTTGATTCCAAAGGAAATTCCTAAAGAATCCTTTGTCTGCAGGGCTGTTTTTTTCTGCCTTTAACTTTGGTCCTAATCAAGCCATCAATGCAGTATGTAACCAAGTAAGGTGTTCATTTTCAAACAGCCAACCAATCAGATTGTGCTGTTTTCCAGTTTAGAGCAATAAGGACAGACAGCCAAAGAGCATTAGTTGTACATATGCTCCTGCATTTCCTGTGTGCCTTGTTGACTAAAGCTGGACATACACAATGACTGCTGAATGATCAGGCCTTTTGGAAGATCAATTTATCACTTGATATGCACATGCAATGCACAGCGTCTGTCAGGAGAGATCCACACATGAGGTTTTGCCCTGCACTGGCTATTCTTTTAGAGGTTAAATGGAATAACACACACTTGGCCTGGATAAATCATTAGGCACAGTAAGCTTTGGTCTATGGGTGACAAAAGCAAAAAGGCAGCCTCTTCTTGGAAGGCAATGTATTTCCAGTCCTAAATAGAAATACAGACCCTTTATAGGTTTAGTTACATAGTTTAGGACCAGTAAAGAAGCAAATCTATTGCATAAATGGATGGAAACTTGGCAGTAGTAATGTTGGTATCCTGATGGCTGGAACTGCTTCGGTTCTAGTGTTTACTTTTCTTGGATAGTCATGTTTGCAGTATTTCTTCAAGTTATGTAGCTGTTTTACTTGGTGCATGTATACGTTATTAGAAATCGCAGAGTGTAAGAATTGATGGGTCTGCTTTTAGAAGAAGTTGTCCTGAAATCCATCTTCTCTGCTTCTGCCGACTCCCAGAGGTGGTGTTGGTTCCAGAGCAGTCTCCATTGCCTAATGGCTTAGCGCTAATGTGTGTGTGATGCCACCAAGGTCCTTATAACCAATGCTGCTCCTGGGATTCGGTAGTGTTGGCCAGCAGATTTGATTGTAAAAGAAAGCAACTGTTCTGACAACTTTCTTCTTAAGATGTTGATATTTGAGATGATGGCACAGACCATTTCAGGCTGTTTATAAATGAGATGGTGGACTGGATCAGTTTATATTGCCCAGTGCTCTATGTGCTGACAAGGAGAAGATTGACAACTCAAACAAAACACTGATCCTCCTTAGACACTGTTTACTAGAGCTCTTGTAAATTTTGAACAAAAGGCGATTACGTGTTATCCAATGACTTGGATATGATGTGGAATCTTTCTTTACTGAATGTCTGGTAATGAAGCACATTTTAATGTATTCTTTTGTTCTTTGTAAGTCAACAGTAACTCATTTGTACATCTGCAGTGGATTTGTTTTCTGAGAATCTATTTTATTTTTAGGATTTTACGAGCTGAGTGATGGGACGTCAGGATCTCTTTCCAATTCCTCCAACTCTGTCTTCAGCGAGTGTTTATCCAGCTGTCAGTCCAGCACCTGCTTTTGCAGCCCTCTGGAAGCATCATTAAATCTTACAGATGGTCAGCCAAGATCATCAGGTAGGATTGTGTCCCCCTCCTTTTTTTTTTTTTTTTTTTTTTTTTTCTTTTTTCCTCTCCTTCCATATTTTGAAGGGATAGTCCCCATAAAACAAAAATGTTCACCCTGGCTTCTTATAACTCTGTAGACACAAGAGTCAAGATCTTATTCCAATTTCGAGCATTAAGGCTGTTCTCCTGCTCCCCATGATGTTAAAGATTAGATTCCCATGGATGTGGCAGGTGGGTGAACCCGTGAACTCAACTGTATGGACCTTGCCTCTAGATTCTCAGAGAGCTGACTGGTGCAGGCCAGTGGAGGTTATTCAACCTACTAATATCTACCAAAAGATTGATTTTTTTTTTTTGGGTGGGGGGGCTTTAAGTGTAGATGTGTCATTTAGTTTATATATAACTATATTGGAACACTTTTGCAAGTATATTCTCATTAACATTTCACATTCAATTACATTCTGTGGCATTTCTTAAGATTTGGCTAAATGGTAACTTTAGGCAAATGGTGCAAATACTTTACTGCCGCTAAGGCAATTAGCATTCTTCAAGACAAAAGGTACTTGGAGTCTTAATAGCCCAATACCATACTCTAGGGCTATTATTACCAGTAGTAAGTTCTACTGCTATGATTTGTAAGGTGAGGGAGAATCTTTAAAACAAAGTGGAAACCACATACATGCATGCATAAAGTAAATGTACTGATGGGCTATTCACTTTTTGCGACTGGACAGATCAGGTTGTATATTTTAATGTACCTTGTACCTATTTGACATGCCTATTGCTATGTATACATGTCCTACATAAACCAAAATATCAATACTTATTAATGCTAATGAATGCTTCTTATTCAATATCTTTCAGATGACTTCTTTGAATGGTTGGACTACAGAGAAGGCCAGTGTGAAAATACGGGCACAGTTAGGCGCTCTTTCTCCGTACCCCATTCTAACACCACTGAAGTTGTTGCTGATGTTCATCCCAAGTATCAGTGTGATCTGGTCTCCAAAAATGGCAATGATGTCTACCGATACCCAAGCCCTCTGCATGCTGTGGCTGTGCAGAGCCCAATATTTTTGTTATCAATGATGGGAAATATGAAGGTGGAGGAGGAGGGGGAGATTGGAACCAGTATGAATGACTGCTCAGTGTCTGAACTCGACACACTAAAATCTGAAGACTCTTTGTTGCCACACAGTAGTCCCTGCTCTGTTCCCTTTTCCTCCAGTAAAAAATTGGATGGGTACATTTTGAGTGTCATACAGAAAAAATCACATCCTGTAAGGACTAACAAACCTCGAACAAGTGCAAATGTAGACCCAGCCAAAGGCATTTTACGACATGGGAGTATATGTGTGAAACAGACTGGTGGCATCGCTCATAACGGCATTACTAACCTGAAGAATTCTAAACAGCCATGTTTACATTCCTCTGGAATACCCTCTATGGATAATGGCACTTACCCTGCTTTAAAACAGTGTTTGAAAGAAACTCAAAATGAACAGCTGGAGAGTAAAGTGCCACTGGCCTCCAGCTACCAGCCAAGTAACATTAATGAACTACAGAGCCAAAACAATTCACGGAATGTTAAGTCAGTCCCCCAAAATCTTGGAAGGGGTTCTGGGGTTGGCACACCGAACATTCAAAAGGAACTGCATGTAAATCCCAATACAGTTGCCAGCCATTTTTCCAATGTTACCAGTCCTCTTTGTAATGGATCTCCCAAAGAAACTCATAAGATCACTACACTTCCTCAGGAAGTTAAAATTGTACAACAACCAAAACGAATTTCACCCAAAAACACAATTGACTCTTATCATGCATCATCTCACGATGAGAGGCCATCTCTTGACTTCAAGAGTGAAGGGTCTTCTTCTCAGAGCCTGGATGAAGGACTTTTGGTAAATGCACATTATATACCAGCCCAACAACAAGGTGTTAAACTCCATAAGTCAATCAAAAATGTAAAGATTGTCAAAAGCTCAACTTTAAAACACAGGTCCAATGTTCAGCATGTTGTGGAAAATGGCTCTCAGACGCTGAAAGAGAAGAGCAAGGTGGTAACTAAAAAATGCCGTTTCCCTGATGACTTGGATATAAATAAAAAAGTAAGAAAGATCTCTCCAAGAAGTAAGAAGGTTGTAGAAAGTGGTATTGTGGGTAAAAATGCAGGGGCTAGCAAATCTGCTAGCAAACCTCATGGACATGCAAAGGATGTAGTGTTGGCCAAACCCAGACACAAGAGGGGTGATTACCGTAGGTGGAAGTCGTCAGCTGAAATTTCTTATGAAGAGGCGTTACGGAGGGCAAGACGGCGGCACCAAAGAGAGATGGTAGGACTCTATGCACAGGTGCCTGTACCTTATGCAAGCCCTTACGCTTACATTGCAAGTGACTCTGAGTACTCTGCAGAATGTGAGTCTCTGTTTCATTCCACTGTTGTAGACACCAGTGAAGATGAACAGAGCAACTATACAACAAACTGTTTTGGGGATAGCGAGTCCAGTTTAAGTGAGGTTGAATTTGTTGGAGAAAGCACAACGTCAAGTGACACTGATGAAAGTGGTGGACTTATCTGGTCGCAGTTTGTACATACCCTTCCGATGCAAACACCTACAGCTTCTGCTCTTCAAACAACAGCCAAAGCCTTTGTCAAAATTAAAGCCTCACACAACCTGAAGAAGAAAATTCTTCGCTTTCGATCTGGGTCACTAAAGTTAATGACGACAGTTTGAAACATCAAATGTTTTCCTATTGTCCCTGACCCCGTTCTCTCTGTAAATAAAGCTGTACCATTTGTGCAAATATTTAAAGTTTACAGTAACTTATGTGGACTTCTGAAAACTCTTCTTGTACTGCCTAAATTCTAAGAACTGGTGTAGACCCTGAATCCATTAGTCGGCTATGAAGCAGACACTGGAGACTTTTCCAGAGTACCATCTTACCGTGTCTCGACAAAAGGCCCCTAGACATCCATCAGAATGATTACCCTTTTAGAGATTAATCATAAATCTTATTTTTGTCCTTCAGTTCTAGTACGCTATCTTAACATTCCATCTGAATTGGCACCTTTTCTGCTTGACAGAAGGAATTACACATTTGCTATATGTTTTGAGTTCTACTTTTACTCCTTTTCTAAATGAAAGATTTTTATTTTTAAAATCTAGTGATGCGTTGCAAACTTGACAAACTTGCGAAGTGGTTGAGTATTTCATGGATGCACTTGGAGCTTAAAGGCAGGGTCACTTTCATCAAACGTTATGCATTATGCATGAATAGTATTGGTTTCCATATGCTTTGTACTATGGCTTTCATGTTACTATAATCACTTGTATTTTATAAATTTTGTAAATTATATAACACATTTTACATGGTTATAAACTATCTGCTTTAATGCTGTTTAAATTTATTAAACTGGAAAAGAAAAAACATGTTCAGTTGTCTGCCTTTTCTCTTACTTCGTAAAGTATGCTGCTTACATGATAAGCATTTGGCAGCCATATTTGAATTTATGAGGATATTTTTTGAAACCGTCCCACACTGAATAACAATCAACATTACATTGAATAGGTTGTGAAAACCTGATGATGCTGCTAAATGTAAGCTTCATTCATACCTGGATTAAATGTCCCTCCTCTTTTTCCCAACAGCTGAAAGGAAACTCTTCCTGTGTTTTTCAATGATAAGCTAAATATTATAAACATCTGTACTGAAAAACATGTTTCTATGTATATTTTTATTTCTATGTGAACATGAAGCAGTCATTCTCTCGACAGTGATGAACAATGGTTTTGCTTGACTACAAAGTAATGTCATAATTGTTTTTAAGGATAACTTTACTCATGGAAAGTTATCCTTTTTTACCTCCCCTCATCCCTGACTGAAAGCATCCCCACCACAGATACATAATAACTGAATCAAATGGCTGTAGCCGGCAAGAATGTAAAATCTTTTTTGGCATACTTGATGATTCCTGCATGCTGCTGCTGTCATTCAGATATGTAGGCTACAGAGGCAAAGGCGTAGTGGTGCCTTAGTTTGGAGGGTGTGGTGCGCTCAAAAAATAACTGTACTGTCTCTAAAATTATCATTTAAGATAAACACTTCCCTTTTAGGTTTAGGTAAGGCAGGGGCTGGTAGGGCCCATTTTTGTATGAAATTACATTGGTGTCAAGTTTAATGGTACCCAAAAAGCAGGCTGTTGTCTGACACGGGGTTCACTTCTTATAGGTTTAGGTAAAGAAGGGGCTGGGAGGTCCCATTTTTGCATAAAATGTGATTAGTATCTAATTCCATGGCACCACAAAAGCAGGCTGTTGGCATGGGGTTCATTTCTGGCCACAATGCCGAAATTCTAGGTTTTAATTTTTTTTTTTTATACACACCAGCGCAGTTTTGGGTATATGATTGTTCATTTGAAGCCCAACTCAGTCATCTTTTCTAATTTTAGATGTGGAAGAGTTACAATCTGTCAATTTTGATTGGTGATTGCGTCTCTGAGGAGATTTTTGTCTTTGCTTCTGCAGAGGAGATTTCTCATCCTGTTTTGTTGATTGCTGAACAGGAACTACTGGGAAATCACCCTGTTGGGCATATAAAACACACAGGGTTATTCACTAAAGTGTGAAGAGTTTGGAGAAGGCCGGAGAAGCGAACAATCTAGGACAACATAGCTGAACTGGAAAGTGAGCTGAATTGGAGAATTTTTCCAAATCGGGTATTTTGTCCCAGATTGTTCACTTCTCCTGCCTTCTCCAAACTCTTCACCCTTTTGTGAATAACCCTGAAAATCTGTATATATTTTTCTTGGGGTAATTCCTCCCTCAAGTTTTATCTGACACGTCATATACAGGTGAAACTCGAATAATTAGAATATTGTTCAAAGTTCATTTATTTCACTAATGCAACTTAAAAGGTGAAACTAATATATGAGATAGACTCATTACATGCAAAGCAAGATAATTCAAGCCGTGATTTGTCATAATTGTGATGATTATGGCTTACAGCTCATGAAAACCCCAAGAACCCCAAATCCACAACCTCAAAAAAGTAGATTATTACATGCAATCAATAAAACAACTATTGTACATAGAACAATATCGGACCTCTGAAAAGTACAAGCATGCATATGTGCTCAGTATTTGGTTTGGGCCCCTTTTGCAGCACTTACTGCAATTACTTTTGCACGATATTCTAATCGAGTTTCACCTGTAGATAATAAGAAGAATTCTCCCAAATGGTGGCACGATTGGCTTTAAAAAGTTGACTGTCTAATTTTTTCAAGCAATTAAAAATAGCTTTCTTACTTTTTCAGACCTTTTAGGCTATATAAAATAACTAAACTTTTGATGACTTAAATTTTGTTTGTTGTGTATGCATCTGCATGCACAGAACACTTTTTTGTTTTTTTGCTTTAAATTGTAATGTATTTCCTTTTAGATGGCTATAAAGTTTATTTTTTTTACTTGTGTAATACTATCCTGAATTTTTTGGGGTAAGAGAGTTTTAGCATTTTATATACACAGAAAACCCTTTTCCAGTGACTGTGACAAAAAGCCATTTGTAGATATATTGCCACGTATTCTACTGTTTAGTTAAGTAGATCATATTCGTTTTGTCCTTCTCAATGAATTTAATTAAAGGGCTGATGTGTCCCTTTGGCAAATTCAACATCTGTACTAGAATACTGACTTTCTACCCGTGCTACTTTAGCACTTAGAAATCCTATACCGAAGTAGGAGATTTAGGTTTCCTGTCAATTGGGAAAAGATTTGTTGCCCTTAGGCTATTTTCACATCCAGCCAGTCATAAATTACCATTTGGTGTTTTTTTTTGTCTTTGCTTACCATTTTAAACATTTAAATGTGGACAACTACACAAAGGTAATGGTATTGACTCTTTTCTATATTAATAAAATGGTGAATGTTAAATTGTGTACTCTCTGGAAACCTCCAAAGCTGTGAGCAAACATGATATTTGCTTAGAAAGCCGACTGCATTAAAAGGTTTTGTGTGCCTTGTACACAGATTAGCGATCCTTGCTGTTGCTGTGAAAGGGACAACGCTTGTGCAAGCCCTTTGTCTTATAAAGAGGTATTGTGTCCCTGTTGCAAAAACACTTCACACTTTCAATGTTTGAGGGCTTATTCTGTGGCCTCGTCCAAAGTTCACTTTAGCAGTAACCTATTGAAAATTTGGTTTCAGTGTGTAAAAATGCACATAGAGCAGGACCGATAACTTACTGAGATTGCAGGCGGCATGTCTTCATCTCCTGTCACCTGGGTTTTTTTTTTTTTTTTTTTTTTTAAACCACGCCTTGTATGACCATCAAAAGGCATAATGAACAGGGATAACTCTACCTGTCCTAGCTCATACTCCTAGGAGTTTCGGGACACTGCAGTATTCTTGCTGAAGAATGAGTGATGTGCGCCTCTGGTAAGAGAGTCACTGCCTTTTCTCTATAGAAAGGGTGTCCAGCCATGGATAGATTTATCCAACGCGTGAAGTGAATCCCTTTGTACTGCTGAAACAGACCTATGAGCAAATTTACTGAAGGAGTTGAGAATCCTCACCCAAAAAATTGTGTGAAGAGGTCCTAGACCTACTATAGACCTACTTCAATTTTCCAGTCATGGCACCTTCAGATGGTGAGGTGTTTGATGTGTACAGGAATTTTTCCTTTTAAATGATTGGACAAATAAATATGCACACCCATTTTTTTTTATTAGAGTATTGCCTCCTTTAGTAAATCAGCCTCTCTTTCTCCATGTTATGAACATATTTATGTCTGTATAGCTTCAGTCATCTAAAGCCATACTCAGAGCTGTACAACTCTAGAACAGGGGTAGCCAAGCTTTGGCCCTCCAGGTGTGGTGAAACTACAAGTCCTATAGGGCATTGTAAGACTTGACAGCCCCAGGCGTGACCTCCAGAGGCAGATACAGTGCATGATAGGATTTTTAGTTTTACCACTGCTGGAAGGCCAGAATTTGGTTACCCCTTCCTTAGAAGCATCCTCTTCTTCCCAAATAGCAATGCACCACATGTAATGATTCATGTCATTTTAATACATGCTGTGTCTTGGCTACCCCAGGCTTGTATTCTTGTTATAGTGCTGGAATGTGGCTAAATAGTCTCCAGGTTTTCCTGCATACTATCCTACTCTCATGAGACTGTTCAAGACTTGCAAACCAGTAAGGATTATTATAATTATACAGAATTTATATAGCGCCAACAGTATAAGGATAATTTCAGGACTGATATACGTTGTAGTCTCTGTTATTTATGCAGAAATGTTGACTTTATTTAAAAAAAAAAAATCTAAAAAGCCATAAAATTGGGATTTTGGTCAAGCAAAGTTAAAAGTGGTACTGAGCCGTTCTACTAATGGCACCTAAAATAAATTATAACCGAGTACAGATTGACTTTGATATGCACATTGACTTCTTTTATGCTTTTTCTCTTTTTAGAATTAATCTGCTACAATTGCTCTGGGCGTACTTACTATGCAATTCCATTACAAAAGTGTTAAAACTTTCATATTGATGTAAAATATCAACACGTAGATATCTTTCACAGTCATGTAATGATCAATGATGTGCTCCCTGTATAGTTTAAATCAATTATAACTTTAGCAGTTTACTTACTCATCAAGCAACCTATACCAACCAATCAGAAAATAGTCTGTTAGTGTGACGACACCACCCTATTTATAGCTGGCTTCTGGGTGTTTGCTACGTCTTGTTACACATCATTGCTCTTTGCATTATGTAATTAAATAAGCCTAAGTGAGAGTTTGTAAATCTAAACTTTTAACTGGATGTTAAACTTTGTGCTCAAGCAGCATGTTGTTCAAAGCACATGAAGATTTAATTAGCACACAGGCACCAAGTGCTAACATATGGTTACCTTTTCAGTATCTTGGCCTTCTCTTGTTATGGAAGTGGCTGTTTTGTGTTCTTTTTTTCATTTATAGTAGACATTTGCATAAGAAGGAAGGCACTTATGTTGCCTGTATGTTTGTTCCCTTTTGAAGTCCTGAAACGTATTCTATCCATAAGCTGTGTACAAAACAGGGTTTTTAGGTCTGTGCGCATTAAATGAACATACCGTTTTGTGTGTATTCGTGTTATGTAGCCACAGAGAACACGGAAGGCTGTACAAGTTTGAAGGTCGATCCACTTTAAAAGAACACAATGGGCTCTTGAACATCAAAAGTGGCCCCATCGACTAGTTTGCAGACGGATGAACAACACAAGTGAGAGGCAAATGGAATGCTGAGCTGCTGTTTGCCATATTGGTATCATGTATTTAAAATGTATCTAAATCCAAGAATACATTACATTTTATATTTCAACTTACTTGTCCTTGGATGTGGTGGATGCATTTCAAGCTTTTTTCCTCTTTTTTTTTTTTT